GCAGGCTCCAGACTTGCCACATGCAACACTATGAAGAAATTGTCACATGAATGATGTGACAAAATTGAATGTACCCTAAGTGTCAACTGGCCTTAAGAAGGGCTTATTATAATGGCGACCATACTAACCTGTCTGGACCCCCTCGCCATCCTTTGGAAAATTTGGAATTTCGCGCACTCGCTTCACCAGCAGCTGCGTAACATCTCCGTACAGCCCAGGGCAACACATTTTCCTTTGTAATAATACTACGCTCCTTCACATCGACAATATGATATTCCTTTTGTCCCTGCCACTTAGACACTCATTACTTCATACTTCTACCAGCGGGTCGTGCATAAGAGGAAATGGCTTGTCCCGAAATACGTCAGTTTACGCCTCCGTTTGTTTTTCGGTGACGTCAGATGAGAAGCTTTGATGGTTTAGGCTGCACTGACATGACAGAAGTGCCATGCCAGCTTCTGGATTCATTTGGCCTGACAACAGCATGTGAATATGCAACATCTGAAGTATAGGCCTATAACAACAATACGTTTTTTATTTAAAACTTCTACATAATTCCAAATATACCAAAACCAATGTATTGCAATCCATCCATATCCCACCTTTACTCATGGTAGTTCCAAAGTTTCTTGGTCGAACAAGCATTGCTAAAATGATCCTTAATTTGATATTGACAAGAAACCAAACATCACCTTACAAATGTGAGGTGATATTAACATATAACAAGCCAAGTGAACTGTTTAGTTACAAAGATTCCAGTCACCCCTTTGTAAAATCCACCACATGGATGTACTACGTAGTGTAAAGGCCATGTCTTCATCAGGAGACAGAGGGCCTGCCTTATCTAGGGCAACTGTCACTTTTCCATAACAACGGTTTTTCTCACATGAGGGTACCGTGACTGGTGATGGTAAAACACAAACTGGAGGGGGAGGGGGTGGAAGGATGACCATCAGGACCTATACAGGAGCAGGACAGGTGGCCGCACTTTTTGTCTGCTGTTTTGACTGAGGACTGTCCTGTTTTTTTCTAAGGGGGCCTTCGGCCTTCCAGACGACTTTCCCCCACCCCCACCCCCTGGACATTTCAGCAACCTTTTGGCAGTGACTGCACTTTTCTCCATATGTGTGGTGGTACCACGATACCCTTTTTGGGCGATAGTGGAACGGCATGTTTGCAAATTCTTTTAAATTTCTCACCATCAAATAGACCTGTGATCTTAACAATACAACTGTACAGTAGAATATATATTTCCATATTGTATCTGATAGTTGCAAACTTGCAATCAGCTTTATTGATACATTAATGTAGCGAAACTTTTTCTAGCACACGTGGATACGTGTTATGCAATATCTTTCATTGCATAGAAACAGTACAGAGTTTAACCGTATAACAGCGGTTATAATACAGAGGTTGCACATTCAGAACATTGGTCCTCTGAAGTTAGTCAACAAAGCACAGTCCAATAAAGTTTGGTTAACTGACTCTGCCATTGGTAAAGGTAATACACTGTCAAAGATGTGGAATTCTTTGATACTCCTAATTGTTCTTTCTACATGAATGCGAACCTGTGGTGGAACATTCAAAATGGCACATTTCTTTTGGACAATACCTTACTTATTGTGAAACCTTTGTCAGCGATAATGCCATCATTCAACAATTCCACAATGCCTGACTGAGTTGTGATGTTAACATCAGAAATGCTTCCATTGTACAGTTGGCTAAAAAAACTGGCAGCTCCTGAAGGAGTGATATTGATTAAACCTATAACAGAATCCAAAATAATAAGGGAAAATCCATTTTATCCCTTTTTTCGACTTCAGAATTAGAAAATGAAGTTCCCAATTTAGCTAAATCGCAGTGATTTTGGCTGGTTATTAAGGAATCCCAGAAACTTATATCTAGATATTCAGGACATATTGAGTCAAATGACTCACACAGAGTTTTGATTATTCAGCCAAGTAGGGTGGAGATCCGGAATTGGAAGGCAAAGATACATGGACTTTGAGTCAGATGACTCAAGACAGGGAGCTCTTGAGTCAGATGACTCAAGACAGAGAGCTCTTGAGTCAGATGACTCAAGACAGGGAGCTTTGAGTCAGATGACTCAAGACAGTAAACTTTGAGTCAGATGACTCAAGACAGTAAACTTTGAGTCAGATGACTCAAGACAGTAAACTTTGAGTCAGATGACTCAAGACAGGGAGCTTTGAGTCAGATGACTCAAGACAGGGAGCTCTTGAGTCAGATGACTCAAGACAGTAAACTTTGAGTCAGATGACTCAAGACAGTAAACTTTGAGTCAGATGACTCAAGACAGGGAAGCTTTGATTCAGATGACTCAAGACAGGGAACTCTGAGTCATTTGAATAAAGATGGGGAGTGACAATCAGAGTTATTTTAGAATCCTAACCATTACACTAATAAAATAGTTCTTCAACCTGTACCACTGGGTTTTATTGTCAGGCGTTTCAAGTACCTCTCCGACACTCTTAATCAGTAAAGAAAACTGTTAATCTAAATAATCAAAACAGATAACAGTCAAAATGTCCTTAAGAGTCTTCTAAAGAAACAAAAGGTAACTCACAAAATGTTATTTCTTTACTTCAATTATCGAGTTATACACTACGCCAACATGTGTAAATCTAATTTCAGAGTCCACAGATACAGGTGTAAGACATCCACAAATAAATGTGCGAACATATAGTCTGTTTCTTATATTACCTGGTTGACAAAATATAATGATACGCCGCCCAATAAAAACACTATCGTTGCCCTCCCCACGTAGGCGGTCTAGTCGCCCCCACTCGACACGAGGCCGTTACAAACGGTCTGAATTGATTTAAAATGTAAAGATGCCACTATTCGCCACTTTCACAGGTTCACAATATGTTCAGGTATTACTTGTGCTCTAAATACGAAGAAAATACAAGATGGCAACATTAGTTTAAGATACGTAAAAGAGAGAAATTACTCTTGAACTCTCGCGTTTACTGCCGCTCACCTTCGCGCCTGTGTCGGCTCGTGTGCCGACTATACACGGTGTAAATATTTTATCAATCTCAGTAGTTAGTAAAACAAGATCTAAAATAAAAACAAACTCAACACTGTAAGTATGTGGCCACAGCTGTCACCCTTCATGGACATGACCTTGCCGCCCGTCAGCGGCTGGCCCTAGAATAGGTAACAGTCGGCAAAACTTAAACACAAGCCGACCCTATAAATTACTTTCTTCCAACAAAAGCTCAACAACTAGCTAACAACCGCCCAATGTGGGGAGACCGTTCTGTCCACCGGTATCTCGAACTTCCCTACAAACAAAATACAACATAACTTAATTAGTACACTTAATCAAAGTCTGTAAATATTACACAAACCCATCCTCACATGTTGCAATGTGGTAGTAAAATAAGACGGTACAACTTACCGACAAAATGCCGCTTGACCACGCCACTGTCTGCCTCTTCTGGTGCAAGTGCTGTTGTTTCGGTCACGGAGGAGCCTTCTGTAAAAACGAGAAATCACACTGAAACCTACCCTGTCTGGTGTCGGTCTCTTCTTACAGCAGATAATTAGCACAGTAGGGTCA